GTCTGTCAATTTTAAAATCATGCAAACTAGTATTATTGATTTGATATACAAAATTAAAGGCTTTTGCTAAAAATAGCTTCTGGATACAAATGTTATTTAGCAAACTCCTTTGTCTGCTGTATTAATAATTACTAGTATTAAAACCAAATTTAAAAATTTCAAATTGTGAATAATTTAAATTTCATAATATTGAAAATGTGTCTGCATCTGATTAGTTATAGGTATTGTAGAGTTTCTACGTGAATCACAATGTATATCAAATTATAAAAGTGATAATAATTTTTTATAAATAATACTTTAACGAAGTACACACTTTTAATTTTGGTAAAAATAAATAAATAAAATGTGTAAAGATATATTTTTAAATACATAGCTCCTTAATTTGTTTTAATTTGATCACGAGTCTATACAATTTACTTCTATTAATTATATTAAAAGAAGTGATAGTTGTATTTGAAAATATTTACCCACAAAAGTATAATTTTTGTAGGCCTACAAGAAATATCTTCTTTTTTTTGCCACAGGCTGAAAAATTGCAATTTTATTAGATCTTTAAGAATCCTATAAGGTAATTATAATGTCTTCAGAGTAGTTTAATATGTAGTTTTCACTTAGAAATAGAAGATTTTATCAACATGAATGATTTTTTCACTTTACTATTTAAATTCATAGTGTATTTACAATTTAGTAGTATAAAATAAATGTTTCTATTTTCCTAACATTCCAAAGATAGTATTTTATAAACAACTTATAGATAAATTCAACAATGAACTTGGGAAGTTTATAAAGAGCTCTTAACAAATACAAAGAGTTGAAAGCATTGCTGAAGGGCACATTAGGGCCCATTGTAGTCCTGGCTGTAAGGCCTGTTTTAGGTCGCAATAACTGAGCGGAAACTGACTGTTACATTTCGTAAAATTAGTACAATTTTTAGAGTTTCCTGTTTCAGTGAAATTTCTCCAAAAGTTTATGTGCTATAACGCAGTCATCGTGGTGAGACACAAGAGAAGGATCATAGCCTCCAATACAAGGCGTTGGTGTGCAACGTCGCACCGGCCGGCCCATAGTCATAAAATGATCAAAGTAATGTCATAAGTAATGCCAAAAGTGTAAACGAAAACATTGCCTATACGCCCCTTTTTAAATTAGTGCAACAGCTTTTTTGGTACTCCGGGACAGCGGTATTGTCACTTTTCTCTCGCCGCGGCCTTGTACTAGAGGAGGCTATGAAATGACGATTAATCCCTGGTATAACCTAGAACCGTAAACCACAACATAAAAACGCAGTTAATTATTTTACTGTTTTGTTTCGCGTTTACCTATAAATGTGTTTTTCTAACTCATAACATTTACTGATAAGATATGTTCTTCTTCTACAAGATAAGGTTTAACACCATCGTGCAGGTTTATTTCATTTTTGAAAAAAAAATACTTCTTCGGCGTTTGTCTAGAGCTAAAGCGTAGTAGTTTGGAAGGCATGTGAAATAATAAACTGACTTTTATAGTAAAATATAGTTATGAATACAGCAGAAATGTATAAATAACTTATTTGGCAGTCCGGATTATATTGAACCAAATTCAGAAATTATATGCTAATGAGTTTGAAATAGAGTAGCCTAACGTATATGGCACAATCACATCATTCATAGTAGGCTAACCCAATACACACATATGTCACGGCAATACACGTATTGAGCCACATACTAACATGAATACAGACTAGAGGCTAATCTCAATATGTATTAGATACATAACCTGTTGGGGTGTAGTAGTTGGAGTATTAGAGCATTTTGTGACATATATTTTGATTTCCACAATTCCTAAATATTTCATATATTTTTTAGAGAAACATAACAAATGATTGGTGTTTTTAAAATTCAAGAGTCTTGGTTTGCAAATAATGACCGTGGTAAAAACGTTTTACGCAACGGTAAACGTATGATAAAATAAAATAGTTCAATGCTATATATATAAAGGGCAATCCCTGACTATCACCGGTTAAAATTTAGAAAACGCATGCTTTTCACACGGACAGCTGTATTACGTATTGCGTGCTCACGTGGTGGTAGGTACGCCTAAAAACTTATATATTTAACTCCTAGTGAGAAAAAAAACAAAAAAACTTTTATCCACTGGAAACAGAGTAAAGTAAATATTCAACTTTTGTTTTTGGTAAACGTTTTTATTATTTATTGTAAAGAACAAATTACCATTTTAAATAGGATTTGTTAGCGCAGCAACGCGCGCTGGGTAACTGCTAGTTTTACATAATAAAAATACATAATTTGGTAAAAGTGGTCAAAAACACATTTTACAAGTTAGTGCTTAATTTACGCATTTCTTTACATTCTATACGTTTTCGCTCGTGCTATGACTTCCAAGATACGTCCCAAATAAAACCCGTAACCTAAAAAAAAAACATTGGAAATTTTTATTTTAAAACTTGTTAGTATTAGCCGTTATCATTGGCCAATCTGTTGTAATATAGTGATAATTTGTTTTTATGTTAATACACATATAAATCAATTATAGCAAACCTGCGTGCTCGGCCAAATCCCAACAGATTTTACCCAAGATAATATTATAACAGCTGATCAGATGATGTGGTTACTTTATTCATGTCAAAACAACTATTTATTTATCTTGGTAATGATGTGTTGATTCATTTTCCTACAGTATCTTCAAAAACTTATAATATGTAATAATTTAAATTAATGCAGATGTCACTCTTTCCTGTAGTGAAGTCACGACTTCAGTGGATTTATAGTAGTATTATTAATAAAGCACAACGCTATGTAGGGCGAAGCCTACGGGTACAACTAGTTTCTCATAAAATATTATAGTTTTTTGTCAGATCATGATCTATCAAAGGAAGTTAACTGTAAGTAATTAAGACTCCAAAATCTCAAAGCATGAGAACGCAGAAAAGTAATTCCTTCTTGTGTTGAAGGCTAATGGACCTTCCTAAGTCTTCTTTTGTAACATGATTTTTGTTAAAGGTAGTTACGACTAAGTACCAAAAGAACTTATGAAGCTTTTAAGGGTTTAAACATCAACTATACTCACATTAGGTACACGTAAAATTTCATGGTTTAGTTTTTGGATTCTTGCAACTTACGCACTAACTATTTATATATTGAAAAAAATGCTTTATTCAATTATTTGAGATTTATTAAATACTAGTGTTCCTGTTGCTCGAATTCGAGCAATTGCTAATTATAACAGGCGTTATTTTAAAAGGAATAACTACCATGATTTCTGATAACTTTAAAAGATTCGACCCAAAGGATTATGGAAATACTCAATATGTACATAACAGGTCGATATAATCATCATTTCTTGTAAATATCTTATAATTTTTCAGAAGCTGATCTTGTTTATTTAGTGTTTGCTACAAATAGCCTTACTCATAGCCGCATTAGGTTGTCCATAATAAGGATTATAAATGCCATTAAAAAAACATTATTTCTATTTCTTCTCCTAGGTGGTGTTCTATGACTTGCCTATGTCTCCATGGTTTGCAAATCGGCTCTTTCAATGATTACTAAGAAATGCAGCACAGTGTTAACTCAGTTTTCTTTTTAGTATATCAATTTATCCAGCCTCTCTGGTTTTTTCCATTGTAATATTTACGCCAACCCAAATTTAAAGGGTAAATATTTAACTTCAACCAAGTGAGTAAATGTCTGTAGCAAACTGTTCAATTAAGAAACTTATTGACTGTTTACTGTTAACATATGTTCTTTTTCTCACTTTTAATTTCTGACAGCAGCTGGAGTTTCATAACAATTTTTGTTTCCCATGTTAATCTTATGGAGAAATACAAAACTTTAAAGGGCCCCAGGGCCTCACTCTCTGATTATTTCCCTAAAAAGAAAGTTTCCTGCACAACTTCACGTTACGCTCTTTCCAATGACACCAAAAACATGTCAATCAGTTCAGTTGTTTTGGAGGAGTAATTGTCACAAAAATCCTGCTTGCGTATTAAATAAGTATAGATAAGGAAAAAAATTCAAGAGAAGGAATTCAATGTGGCTATTTATTTAATGACCAGTGTTATGAGTATATATTAAAAACAACCATAAAAAATATGAAATAATTCTAAGGAAATAGTCACATTTTTTGTAATATAATGTAAAAGAAATTATAAATGAACAATTATATAATGCTTTAATTCAAACATATAGATTGCAATAATTAGAAATAAAAAACAAATTAACTAGACTTTTGGAATACCATTTTTATCACCATGTGATGTAAAACAACTTTACTTAGTGATTGAACCACCAATATATTTCTGTTTACATCATATAGAATAAAAATAATAGTTACTTTTTTGTTGAGGTAAAGCTTTTCAATTGACATGGTTCTCATAGTTTTTGATATCAATAATTGGGTTGGAAAGTTCCCTGCAACTAAACACTTACATATAGTCATTAATATAGCATTGCAATTAGAATTTTTTTTATTTATATGTCAAGAGTAAAAAGATAATTCTTGGACCATATTTTTGTCAAAATACGAAGGCATATCAGTAATAATTTAGACATAAAATATTGGAAAGTCGCTTTATCGCATAGAAAAAAAACCTAAATTTCATTCGTGTGGTATAATATTTGCAACAGATCTTTTATAAGATAAAGAATATAAAATAGTGCATTTTAAGTCAAATTTATGTATGTCATGAAATTATGACACATTCTTCATAACAATTAGGAAACTATAACAAGTTAAATTTACAGCTTGTCGTGAGTCAGGGCGAATTTTTTCTCATATAATGTTATGACGAGAGGAAAAACGTGTATTTTTTACTTTTCAAACAATAAAGATTTTATTCTCAAGTTACAGCCACGATGTCGTTAATAAGACGTGCAATGCTTGACTATAGGAATCACGAAATCGTGATAAGTTTTCACGCTTCCAGATAACATAGGGTTTATAAGGCTACCTACAGATTATGCTCTTCCACTCCAGCTTGTGAAGTCCACACAGCTCACAAAATGGAGACGTTTAGTGGATTCACTGTGCTGTTCTTCCTAATGGTGAGTTCCGTTGTATTTATTTTTTACAATTTATATTTTGACCTAGCGTACATTTCTCTCGTATATTACTATTACTATTACTCGGGAAGGTCCCGTTATTTTATAGGAGTCAGGCTAGTATATTATATATTGTTTTGACCTAAAAATAGCACAATCGAGTTCTAGCGTTAAAATCCTTTTTTGAAAGCTTGAGTTGAAATTCTGCCATTCTCGAATGCGCATCGTTACGTGTAACGTGATTCCCAGTCTGCATTGAATTGTCGTTCCTGATCTCCCTTAAATATAGATTGTTTGGTCTGATAATAACTATAGATTGGATCTTCTCCAAGGCAATATTTATAATCATTTTATTTTTACATCGATACAATAATTAACTACACATCTCATATAAAGGACATACATTTTTTCAGCCGAATGTCTGTTTTAGTCCGACAATAGTATTGACCCGTTTTTATATCATGTCTTAGAGGAATTTGGTTTTTAAGTCAACAAAAATCATTGGTAATGTAATAAATGTTACTATATGTTATAAAAATATTTAAAATGTGTAATCTTACCCACAATTAAACGCACTCTTGTGCAATCTTTTACTAACATGGTTTAATCGTTTGTGAACTTTCATAAACAGAAGTACCACAATGCATCATAATAAGATATATTTTCTTTGGTTTAACAAAGTTAATTAAAATAAATTTCTTTAGTTTATATTTCTGCAAGTAATTTTATGTAATGCTATTTAAAATATTTGTGGTCACTCTGGCAGCGTGCTTCCACTCTCCCCATTTCAAGAATTATCATTATAAATACTAAACAAAGAATATACAAAGTGGGAGATCGTTTTACACTCGATAGCCTTAATTGTATTACAATCATTTTCTATACTTTGTTGACAATCTACAGGATGTTTGTGCTTCTCCACATATCAAAAGTTAAATCCTGGCATCAAAGACAAAAGATCCGTTTAAATATAAATATTCACTTATGCAGTATTTCATATATGTATTTCATTTTCAGGCGAAGTCATCAGCGTGTCCTACGACGCTACCTCCGTGTACATGTAAGACAACTTTATACCTATATGTTTTTCCAAAGTTTATTTTGAAAATCCAAATCACAAGCAGAAAGTTTTTTAAATAAACTAATAAATACCGTTGGTAATGTAATAGCATACCGTTTACTATGACCAAACATCCCGTGAAGGCATTTTCAGATAGTCAAAGTGTACATCAAATGAATCTTTATTAACTTTCCACCACACACTAACTATAAACTTATAATAATTTGTGGGAACAGACCTTACCTAAAAATGTTATAATTGACCCTTAGAGGTATGGGACTCCCAGATAGAGGTATGGAATCTGGCAAAACAAATGCATTGTTGTAATTGACATGTTTAATTTAATTGGAATTTATGTTAGTTGTAGATTCCTTTAGAGAATTTCCTTCTAGAAAAATAACAATTACCGCAGGTCTCATGGTAAGACCTGCAGGACCCAAGACCGATTTACTTTTCTGTTGTGTATATGTATTATTTGTGTTTGTGTCCGTGAACGCTATAACTTGAGTAATATTTGTTCGAATTTGATGAGAACAATGAATATTGGGGGGGTTTTAACCCCGTATGAACCCCCAATTTATTGTGGGTTTATGGGTAAAAATTGGTTTTCTCATTTTTTACCATCAAAACAAAGTATTTCCAAATTTCTCTCTAGACCATTCTAATGAACTCAAAAAGACAAACAATTTAGTATATTGAATAGCTTTTTGCTGTAAGTGGTTACGGAGAAAATTCAAAAAAAATTTAATTAAAAATTCCCATGTTATTCTTATGGCGAATATTGTAAAATGTTGTAGTTTGCTTGTTTATGGATATATTTTGATCAAACTTGGCAAAATTTTTATTATCATTATTAGCTTATAATATTAAAAAAAAACACTTTATTAGCCGTCCTGTAGAAGCGAACCTAGGTACTCGTCTAACCTACTGTTATTGGAATAGATTTAATTAATTGTATATAAATTCAGGAAAATGGAAATTCGCTTAGACTGCAGGTTTGATGCGGCAGTGATAATTCATACTTTAAGAAAACTGAATATTTCTTATATCATTAACTACTAGTATTGTAACTATTATTTTTGCTTACAATTTAATATGGAAACTATTATATCTAATTATGCAATTTTTTTCTTACAAGTTTTGTTTTTATTACAATATCTAATGTATGTGTATGTGTTTCTGTTACCAGGCGATTTGGATGGAATGGATTTTGATAGTATATACGAAATGAGTTTAGAAGGTAAGCAGCGAATATTATTTAATATAGTTTATCTTTACTCGTTCACGCGTCACAATTTAACACAAGTTTCAACTAATTTAAATAACGTAACAATCTATGATATTAAATTTATACTTTTGTTTTATGTTTTAATTTTTGAGTTTAAAATAATATATTATTTTGAGCAACCTTTTTTTCAAATTTTGAACTATTAAAATGTAAGCATGGATATATTTTTACAGAAGTAAAAAAGTTTAGAATGGATTTTAAAAATTATCAAAATATCATTCATAAAAATATGTATAACAACTCATACTTAGCTTCTACCGTGACGAAAGTTATTCTTAGACTGATGATTGTTTTATTACAGGATATGAAGATGATGGTTTAATGGGGTGGAAAATAGACAAAATAAACTATGACGAAGGTAAGATATTTAATTGTAACAAAACCTATTTGGGTAGTTTTATATCATTGAATAATATGAATATGAAATAAAAACAAAATCACTACTGTAAAAAAGATCATATATATTGACCACAAACAATTCTTAATAACATACGTCTACAACTTGCGTTTTATGTAAAATAATTATAGTGTTATCTTTGAGCAGTAGTAGTCCCGTTCTGCCGATTGTGCATGGTAGCTCAGGTGGCTAAGTCTATACACAGTCCAGTAAAATGTTGAGGTCTCTCTACATACGCAGTATCAAATCTCATAGATATCCAATCAAAATTGAGTTTAACATTTTTTTATTATTGGATAGCTTTGTATTAGATAAATTTAGATCATTAATTGTTGTGGCTTAACTCTTCTAGAGAGATAACCTTATGTTAATGTTATCTTACGCTGTTGGAAATCAACTACTTTATTGAGTTTAACATGTTTTAATTTAATTTCGAAAACGATTTAAATATTTTTTGGATTAAATGGACAGTGAATAGAATGTTTATAGTTATTATCTTAGGAAAATGTATTTTTACGACGGAACCTTTTATCCAGTGAACAAAAATGTAAACATATTAGTAAAAAGATAGCAATAAAATATTTCTATCGTTCAAACCCCTTACATAATTTGTATGTGTTTTCCTGATTTAGTTTATTTTTAAAAAGGACAAGTAAGTAATTATTGAATATTGAAATTCAAAACAATGTTTTCAATATTTTGCTCACTTTCGTATTTTATGCTGTCTTGTAATATTAACATTTTATATATACTGTATTGGTTTCATTTACTATAATATACATTTTATTCAAACTTATTTGGTGTTTGTATCACAAAAATTGTATTAATATTTTCTGTTAACAGACAACAAGGATTTAATGGATTCAAAGGGTATATTTGAAAAATATTTTCAAGGTAAGCAGTGATTATTCTTCAAATTATTTATTATTTATCGTTTGCTTTTAATCACTATGCTCATTGGTATTTTTAATTTATTTTGGTTTTAATCGAAGTAAGTTGAGTTTTTTTAAATTTTGAAAATGTAAATCATTTTGAAAAACGTTTTTAGTCTTTGGATTGCTCTTATGTTGCTTTTAAATATTCAAATATTCAAACAATTTACTATAGTATATCTATAATATTAAAATGAAACAGTGTTTTTTTATTTCACGATTCTGAATCAACCACTCGACGGATTTTCATGATTTTTGTGTTGAAAGAAAGATAATTTTGAGAACTAGGGAATGTCGAAGCCATAATTTTAGTTTAGGGTCCCAGTTTTTTAGAAATAAAGTTTTAATTTTCTTAAAGTCTAGCAACCGACGCTAAGATTCTAAACTAGCTTTTGGCATAAAATAATTTGCTTAACATAACAGCTGTAAACATTCAGCTTTTGTGTCACAAATTCAGCATTTAAATAAAAATGTAAAGACATACTTAGGGTTGACTTATTTATACTATGTGTAATGCTAATCATTGATACGTTCAATTCTTCTGTAAGAGGATGACAGATTAATTAAATTATACATAGTAAAATACTAGGATGTTCAAATTATTTTTTAAATCAATCTTTGTATTCTTCGTTTTGTTTAAGAGCAATATAATTTGTTTTAACTAACAGCTGGTTAAATATAAACTATAGAACTATGAGGTTATTTTATTTACTCTTATTTTGTCATTGATTATAGGAAATAAGTAAGATTAGTTGAGATAATTAGACCACAGTTTAAAAAAGTTTAAACCACAGTACAAATCGAGGCTCTGTACATGAGTCTTAATAAAAAAGGATATATGCAAATTATTTTACCATTTTTTCGAGGAAAGAATAGAAAAATAACAATGTTTACATGTTTTAATTCTTCATGGTAGCTTTTTGTTTACAATTAATGTTTGTCTGCTTTAACTTTGTTTGGATTAGGCGCGGAAATATTGATGTCATAAAAAGATCAAGAATAATCAGGAATCATGATTTTAAATTACCACCACAACCTCAGCCGAGTTTTATACAAAGATTGAACACAACGTCAACATTGACCTAGGATACTGCAATTAGACAAACCATCCTTTTATGAAATCGTGTTCAGTGTGGTTACGTTTGGGGGTGCCTATCAGCGCCCCCAAACGTGAAAATATCACTTTTATTTCAACTATGAATATATTGTAGTTTAAATTAACGAATATGGGAAATTACAATGTACACTTATTCCATGAGGGTGGGTAATTATTAAGGATAGAACTGATAACGGTATGGATAATAAACCTTGACAATTACATGATTAGCTTTACTAGCGTGTTTACTTTTTATATTCCTGCTACATGTGACCAGTTCTTTTAGTAATCTTCTTTTTTTCAAATGAATGTTATTTGAACCAAACATCTGTTTCAAAACAAACTGTTATTGTTTTTACTTTTCTTTGTTTACACTTATTTATTTAGCAATTAATGCAGTGAAATTGATATAAAGGATAGGTGTGACGATTTATGTGTAATGTGAATTTTATTGGATATTATCGTTTTATTTTAGGTCGTTTCTATTCAGACCTACTGGAAATTGTGTATAGTAGTTGTATTGTGGTGATAATAATTATGGAAGAGGCAGGTATGCTATGGAAGGTGGTATCGTTGACTAAGTCTATACACTTCTCAATTGACTATTACTCTCTCTACTGTAGGCTACTTATAATCAGTGTGCGTCTGTGCGAATCGGCTGCAAATCTCACTTCAACGCTTTTCACACCGTAAAAATTCAGAATTGCTGTTTTGTTGTAAAATTATCGGATTTAAAATGCATATCGTTTAGTCCTATGATGGAATAAAAACATATTTGGTCACACAACATTTGTATTTTTCACATTAAAACTGCAAGAAACTTTGTCTTTATATGTGTAAACTAGCTGATCTGAATTATACACGGTTTTAACCGACTACTGAATTCCCGTACGTAGGACGGGCTAACACCTCGTATTTATTTAAACTTATTTTGTTTAGTTTTTATTACAATTTCTACTTTATTAAACGTTTCTGTTAACAGGCGATTTGGATGGATTGGATATTAATATTATGTACGAAATGAGTTTAGAAGGTAAGCAACGAATATTATTTAATATAGTTTATCTTTTCTCGTTCACGCATCACAATTTAACACAAGTTTCAACTAATTAAATTAACTTAACACTCTATAAAACTACATTTATACTTTTGTTTTATGTTGTAATTTTTAAGTTTGAAATAATCTATTATTTTGAGCAGCCTTTTTCAAATTTTGAACTATTTAAAAAAGGATGGATATATTTTGTAGAGGTAAACAAGTTTAGAATAGATATTAAATTTATCAAAATATCGTTTATAAGAACATGTATCCAACTCATACTAGCTTTTACCGTGACGAAAGTTTTTCTTACACTGCTGATTGTTTTATTACAGGATGTGAAGATGGTGGTTCAATAGGGTGGAAAAAAGACAAAATAAACAATAATGAAGGTAAAAGATTAAATCGCAACAAAACTTATTTTGGTAGTTTTATATCATTGAAAAATATGCATATGAAATATAAATAAAATAATAAATAAAAACAATTCATAATAAGAAACGTCTACAACTTGCCTTTTATGTTAATATACTCAACGCATACTAGCTTCTAGCGTTACAAAAGTTATTCTTAGACTGCTGATTGTTTTATTACAGGATATCAAGATGGTGGTGTAATAGGTTTAGAAAAAGTCAAAATGAACAATGATAAAGGTAAGAAATTAAATTGTAAGAAAACCTATTTGGGTAGTTTTATACTGCTAAATAATATGCTCATAAAATTAAAGACAAAACCACTACTGTAAAAAGGTAATATATTGTGTTAATAAATACAAACAATTCATAATAAACTGTCACCATTGAAGACGGACATTTTTCCCTAGTTGTGTTTATTATTAATTGTAATATCATGTTAACATTCCTGTTATTGAACATTCCTGTTAGCATTAAAAATAAAATAAATAAATAAATAAATAATAAGATACGTCTACAACTTGCGTTTTATGTAAAATAATTATATTATTATCTTTGAGCAGTAGTTGTTTCGTTCTGCCAATGGTGCATGGTAGCACGGGTGGCTAAACTCTACACATTCCAGTAAAATGTTGAGATCTCTCTACATACGCAGTATCAAATTCCTTTGATATCCAATCAAAATTCAATTTCAATAATTTTTAATTATTGGATGGATTTGTAATAATAAAATTGAGATCAATAATTGTTGTGGCTTAACTCTTCTAGAGGGATAACCTAATGCCTAAGGTTATCTTACGCTTTTGAAAGTCGACTCCTTTACTGAGTTTAACATGGCTTAAATTACTTTTGAAAACTATTTAAATATTTGTTTGAAATAGATAGAGAATGCTAAGAATATTAAAAGAAATTTTCTTTTAACGACGGAACCTTTTACGGAATAGTATATACGAAAAGAATTTAAAAGCTAAGCTGCGACTATTATTTAAAATTTTTTAATTTATTGAAATAACGTAACAGTCGATAAACACACAATTTATACTTTTTTTATCGCTTAGATTTTTATGTTTCAAATAATCTATTATTTTAAGCAACCTTTTTTTCAAATTTTAAACTATATTAATGTAAGGATGGATATATTTTATAGACGTAAAAAAGTTAATAAAAACAGGTTTAAAAAAATTATCAAAATATCATTTATAAAATCATGTATCCAACTCATTCTATTATCTACCGTGACAAAAGTTATTCTTAGACTGCTGATTGTTTTATTACAGGATATGAGGATGTTGGTTCAATGGGGTGGAAAAAAGACAAAATGAACAATGATGAAGGTAAAAAATTAAATCATAACAAAACCTATTTGGGTAGTTTTATATCGCTAAAAAATATGCCCATGAAATATAAATAAAATAATAAATTAAAAGAATTCATAATAAGAAACGTCTACAACTTGCCTTTTTTATTAATTAATTATAGTGTTATCTTTGAGCAGTAGGTGTCCCGTTATGCCGATTGTGCATAGTAGCTCAGGTGGCTAAGACTTTACACAGTCCAGTAAAATGTTGAGGTCTCACTACATACACAGTATCAAATTCCGTGTATATCTAATCAAAATTAAGTTAAATAACTTTTTATTATTGGATAGCTGTTAATAGATAAATTGAGATTATTATTTGTTACAATATATTATAAAAAATTATCAAAATATGATTTATAAAAAGATGTATCCAACTCATACTTGCTTCTAGCGTTACATAAGTTATTCATAGACTGCTGATTGTTATATTACAGGATATGAAGATGGTGGTTCAATGGTGTGGAAAATTGACCAAATGAACAATGATGGAGGTAAAAAATGAAATCGTAACAAAACTTATTTGGATAGTTTTATATCGCTAAGAAAAATGCAAATGAAATATAAATTAAATAATAAATAAAAAGAATTCATAATAAGAAACGACAAAAACTTGCCTTTTATGGTAATTAACTATAGTATTATCTTTGAGCAGTAGTTGTTTCGTTCTTCCAATGGTGCATGGTAGCACGGGTGGCTAAACTCTACACATTCCAGTAAAATGTTGAGGTCTCTCTACATACGCAGTATCAAATCCCGTTTATATCTAATCAAAATTAAGTTAAATAACTTTGTATTATTGGATAGCTGTTAATAGATAAATTAAGATTATTATTTGTTAACGTAACAGTCGATAAAAACACAATTTCTACTTTTGTTTATTGTTTTGATTTTTAAGTTTTAAATAATCTATTATTTTAAGAAACCTTTTTCATACTTTAAACTATATTAATGTAAGGATGGATATATTTTATAGACGTAATAAGTTAAGAATGGGTTAAAAAAAATTATCAAAATATCATATATAAAATCATGTATCCAACTCATTCTATTTCCTACCGTGACGAAAGTTATTTTTAGACTGCTGATTGATTTATTACAGGATATGAAGATGGTGGTTCAATGGTGTGGAAAATAGACCAAATGAACAATGATGGAGGTAAAAAATGAAATCGTAACAAAACTTATTTGGATAGTTTTATATCGCTAAGAAAAATGCAAATGAAATATAAATTAAATAATAAATAAAAAGAATCCATAATAAGAAACGTCAAAAACTTGCCTTTTATGGTAATTAATTATAGTGTTATCTTTGAGCAGTAGGTGTCCTGTTCTGCCGATTGTGCATGGTAGCTCAGGTGGCTAAGACTTTAGTCAGTCCAGTAAAATGTTGAGGTCTCACTACATACACAGTATCAAATCCCGTGTATATCTAATCAAAATTAAGTTGAATAACTTTTTATTATTGGATAGCTGTTAATAGATAAATTGAGATTATTATTTGTTGTAAAATAACTATTCTAGAGGGATAAGCTAATGTCAATGTTATCTTACGCTTTTGGAAGCCGACTACTTTACTGAGTTTAACATGGTTTCATTTACTTTCAAAAACTATTTGTTTTTTTTTGTTTTTTTAAATAGATAGAGAATGCGTAGAATGTTAAAAGCAAAATTTATTCTTACGACAGCAACTTTTACGGAATGGTATATACAAAAAGAGTTTAAAAGCTAAGCAGTGAATATTTTTTAAATTTTTTACATTTATTATATTTTATTATATATATTATATTATATTATATTATATTATATATTATTTATTATATATTATTTTTATTTAAATTAACGTAACAGTCGATTAAACCCCAATTTCTACTTTTGTTTTATGTTTTAATTTTATAGTTTAAAATAATCTATTATTAAAAATTATCAAAATATAATTTATAAAAACATGTATCAAAGTCGTACTAGCTTCTAGCATTACATAAGTTATTCTTAGACTGCTGATTTTTTTATTACAGGATATCAAGATGGTGGTGTAAGAGGTTGGGAAAAAGTCAAAATGAACAATGATGAAGGTAAGAAATTAAATTTTAAGAAGACCTATTTGGGCACTTTTATATTGCTAAATAATATGCACATGAAATTAAAAACAAAACTACTACAGTAAAAAAGTCATATATTGTGTTAATAAATACAAACAATTCATAATAAGATACGTCTACAACTTGCGTTTTATGTAAAATAATTATAGTATTTTCTTTGAGCAGTAGTTTTTACGTTCTGCCAATGGTGCATGGTAGCACGGGTGGCTAAGACTCTACACATTCCAGTAAAATGTTGAGATCTCTCTACATACGCAGTATCAAATCCCGTTGATATCCAATTTAAAATTTAATTTAATAATTTTTAATTATTCGGTGGATTTGTAATAAAATAATTGAGATCATTAATTGTTGTGGCTTAACTCGTCTAAAGGGATAACCTAATGCCAAGGTTATCTTACGCTTTTGGAAGTCGACTACTTTACTGAGTTTAACATGGTTATTATTACTTTCGAAAACTATTTAAATATTTTTTTTTTATAGATCGAGAATGCTAAGAATATTAATAGTAAATTTTCTTTTACGACGGAACCCTTTACGGAATGGTATATACGAAAACAATTTAAAAGCTAAGACGCAAATATTATTTAAAAAATTTTAATTTATTTAAATAACGTATGAGTCGATAAAAACACAATTTCTACTTTTGTTTATTGTTTTGATTTGTAAGTTTTAAATAATCTATTATTTTAAACAACCTTTTTCATATTTTAAACTATATTAATGTAAGGATGGATATATTTTATAGACGTAAAAAGTTAAGAATGGGTCAAAAAAATTATCAAAATATCATCTATAAAATCATGTATCCAACTCATTTTATTTCCTACCGTGACGAAAGTTATTCTTAGACTGCTGATTGATTTATTACAGGATATGAAGATGGTGGTTCAATGGTGTGGAAAATTGACCAAATGAACAATGATGGAGGTAAAAAATGAAATCGTAACAAAACTTATTTGGATAGTTTTATATCGCTAAGAAAAATGCAAATGAAATATAAATTAAATAATAAATAAAAAGAATTCATAATAAGAAACGACAAAAACTTGCCTTTTATGGTAATTAACTATAGTGTTATCTTTGAGCAGTAGTTGTCCCGTTCTGCCGATTGTGCATGGTAGCTCAGGTGGCTAAGACTTTACACAGTCCAGTAAAATGTTGAGGTCTATCTACATACGCAGTAAAAAATCCCGTTTATATCTAATCAAAATTAAGTTGAATAACTTTTTATTATTGGATAGCTGTTAATAGATAAATTGAGATTATTATTTGTTGTAAAATAACTATTCTAGAGGGATAAGCTAATGTCAATGTTATCTTACGCTTTTGGAAGCCGACTACTTTACTGAGTTTAACATGGTTTCATTTACTTTCAAAAACTATTTAATTTTTTTTTTTTATAGATAGAGAATGCGTAGAATGTTAAAAGCAAAATTTATTCTTACGACAGCAACTTTTACGGAATGGTATATACAAAAAGAGTTTAAAAGCTAAGCAGTGAATATTTTTTAAATTTTTTTACATTTATTTAATTAACGTAACAGTCGATTAAACCCCAATTTCTACTTTTGTTTTATGTTTTAATTTTATAGTTTAAAATAATCTATTATTAAAAATTATCAAAATATAATTTATAAAAACATGTATCCAACTCATACAAGCTTATAGCGTTACATAAGTTATTCTTAGACTGCTCATTGTTCTATTACAGGATATCAAGATGGCGGTGCAATATGTTCGGGAAATGTCAAAATGAACAATGATGAAGGTAAGAAATTAAATTATAAGAAAACCTATTTGGGTAGTTTCATATTGCTAAAAAATATGCTCATGAAATTAAAGACAAAACCACTACTGTAAAAAGGTCATATATTGTGTTAATAAATACAAACAATTCAGAATAAAAACAAAAAAAAAAAACAACAAATCAGTCTACAACTTGCGTTTTATGTAAAATAATTATAGTATTATCTTTGAGCAGTAGTTGTTTCGTTCTGCCAATGGTGCATGGTAGCTCGGGTGGCTACGACTCTACACATTCCAGTAAAATGTTGAGATCTCTCTACATACGCAGTATCAAATTCCGTTTATATCCAATCAAAATTCAATTTCAATAATTTTTAATTATTGGATGGATTTGTAATAATAAAATTGAGATCAATAACTGTTGTGGCTTAACTCTTCTAGAGGGATAACCTAATGCGTAAGGTTTTCTTACGCTTTTGGAAGTCGACTACTTTACTGAGTTTAACATGGTTTAAATTACTTTCGAAAACTATTTAAATATTTTTTTTGAAATAGATAGAGAATGCTTAGAATATTGATGGAAAATTTGTCTTTTTACAACGGAACCTTTTACGGAATGTTATATACGAAAACAATTTAAAAGCTAAGCAGCGAATATTATTATTTAAAAATTTTTAATTTATTTAAATAACGTAACACTCGATAAAAACACAATTTCTACTTTTGTTTATTGTTTTGATTTTTAAGTTTTAAATAAACTATTATTTTATGCAATCTTTTTCATATTTTAAACTATATTAATGTACGGATGGATATATTTTATAGACGTAAAAAGTTAAGAATGGGTTAAAAAAATTATCATAATATCATCTATAAAATCATGTATCCAACTCATTCTATTTCCTTCCATGACGAAAGTTATTTTTAGACTGCTGATTGTTTTATTACAGGATATGAAGATGGTGGTTCAAAGGGGTGGAAAAAATACAAAATGAACAGTGATGAAGGTAAAAAATTAAATCGTAAAAAAACTCATTTGGGTAGTTTTATATCGCTAAGAAATATGCACATGAAATATAAATAAAATAATAAATAAAAACAATTCATAATAAGAAACGTCAAAAACTTGCCTTTTATGGTAATTAATTATAGTGTTATCTTTGAGCAGTAGGTGTCCTGTTCTGCCGATTGTGCATGGTAGCTCAGGTGGCTAAGACTTTACACAGTCCAGTAAAATGTTGAGGTCTCTCTGCATACATAGTATCAAATCCCGTGTATATCTAATCAAAATGAAGTTAAATAACTTTTTATTATTGGATAGCTGTTAATAGATAAATTGAGATTATTATTTGTTGTGGGATAACTATTCTAGAGGGATAAGCTAATGTCAAGGTTATCTTACACTTTTGGATGCCGACTACTTTACTGAGTTTAACATGGTTTTATTTACTTTCGATAACTATTTAAGTATATATATATTTTTTTTTAAATAGATAGAGAATGCGTAGAATGTTAAAAGTAAAATTTATGCTTACGACAGAAAATTTTAAGGAATTTTTTTTCCAAAATAATACAAAAGCTAACAGTGAATATTTTTCAAATTTTTCAAATTTTTTTAATTTTTTTAATTAACGAAACAGTCGATAAAAACCAAATTTCTACTTTTAGTTTATGTTTTAATTTTTAAGTTTAAAATAATCTATTATTATTTTAAGTAACATTTATTAATTTTTGAACTTTTTTTATGTATAAATGGATATATTTTATAGACGTAAAGGATCTAAGAATGGGTTTAAAAAATTATCAAAATATAATTTATAAAAACATGTATCTAACTTATACTAGCTTATAGCGTTACATAAGTTATTCTTAGACTTCTGATTGTTTTATTACATGATATCAAGATATCGCTGATGGATGGACAAGAGGCAAAATGAACAATGAAGAAGGTAAGAAATAAAATTGTAAGAAAACCTATTTGGTTAGTTTTATATTGCTAATTAATATGCACATGAAATGAAAAACAAAACCACTACTGTAAAAGAGGTCATCTATTCTGTTAATAAATACAAACATTTCTTAATAAGATACGTCTACAACTTGCGTTTTATGTAAAATAATTATAGTATTATCTTTGGGCAGTAGTTGTTTCGTTCTGCCAATGGTGCATGGTAGCTCGGGTGGCTAAGACTCCACACATTCCAGTAAAATGTTGAGATCTCTCTACATACGCAGTATCAAATCCCGTTGATATGCAATCAAAATTCAATTTCAATAATTTTTAATTATTGAATAGATTTGTAATAATAAAATTCAGATAATTAATTGTTGAGGCTTAACTCTTCTAGAGGGATAACCTAATGCCTAAGGTTATCTTACGCTTTTGGAAGTCGACTACTTTACTGAGTTTAACATGGTTAAAATTACTTTCGAAAACTATTTAAATATTTTTTTGAAATAGATAGAGAATGCTTAGAATATTAATAGAAAGTTTGTCTTTTTACGACGGAACCTTTTACGGACTGTTATATACGAAAACAATTTAAAAGCTAAGCAGCGAATATTATTATTTAAAAAAAATTAATTTATTTAAATAACGTAACACTCGATAAAAACACAATTTCTACTTTTGTTTATTGTTTTGATTTTTAAGTTTTAAATAAACTATTATTTTAAGCAATCTTTTTCATATTTTAAACTATATTAATGTACGGATGGATATATTTTATAGACGTAAAAAGTTAAGAATGGGTTAAAAAAATTATCATAATATCATCTATAAAATCATGTATCCAACTCATTCTATTTCCTTCCATGACGAATGTTATTTTTAGACTGCTGATTGTTTTATTACAGGATATGAAGATGGTGGTTCAAAGGGGTGGAAAAAAGACAAAATGAACAGTGATGAAGGTAAAAAATTAAATCGTAAAAAAACTCATTTGGGTAGTTTTATATCGCTAAGAAATATGCACATGAAATATAAATAAAATAATAAATAAAAACAATTCATAATAAGAAACGTCAAAAACTTGCCTTTTATGGTAATTAATTATAGTGTTATCTTTGAGCAGTAGGTGTCCTGTTCTGCCGATTGTGCATGGTAGCTCAGGTGGCTAAGACTTTACACAGTCCAGTAAAATGTTGAGGTCTCTCTGCATACATAGTATCAAATCCCGTGTATATCTAATCAAAATTAAGTTAAATAACTTTTTATTATTGGATAGCTGTTAATAGATAAATTGAGATTATTATTTGTTGTGGGATAACTATTCTAGAGGGATAAGCTAATGTCAAGGTTATCTAACACTTTTGGATGGCGACTACTTTACTGAGTTTAACATGGTTTTATTTACTTTCGAAAACTATTTAAGTATATATATATATATATTTTTTTAAATAGATAGAGAATGCGTAGAATGTTAAAAGTAAAATTCATGCTTACGACAGAAAATTTTAAGGATTTTTTTTTCCAAAATAATACAAAAGCTAACAGTGAATATTTTTCAAATTTTTCAAATTTTTTTAATTAACGAAACAGTCGATAAAAACCAAATTTCTACTTTTAGTTTATGTTTTAATTTTTAAGTTTCAAATAATCTATTATTTTAAGCAACATTTATTAATTTTTGAACTTTTTTTATGTATAAATGGATATATTTTATAGACGTAAAGGATCTAAGAATGGGTTTAAAAAATTATCAAAATATAATTTATAAAAACATGTATCTAACTTATACTAGCTTATAGCGTTACATAAGTTATTCTTAGACTTCTGATTGTTTTATTACATGATATCAAGATATCGCTGATGGATGGACAAGAGGCAAAATGAACAATGAAGAAGGTAAGAAATTAAATTGTAAGAAAACCTATTTGGTTAGTTTTATATTGCTAATTAATATGCACATGAAATTAAAAACAAAACCACTACTGTAAAAGAGGTCATCTATTCTGTTAATAAATACAAACATTTCATAATAAGATACGTCTACAACTTGCGTTTTATGTAAAATAATTATAGTATTATATTTGGGCAGTAGTTGTTTCGTTCTGCCAATGGTGCATGGTAGCTCGGGTGGCTAAGACTCCACACATTCCAGTAAAATGTTGAGATCTCTCTACATACGCAGTATCAAATCCCGTTGATATGCAATCATAATTCAATTTCAATAATTTTTAAATATTGAATAGATTTGTAATAATAAAATTTAGATCATTAATTGTTGAGGCTTAACTCTTCTAGAGGGATAACCTAATGCCTAAGGTTATCTTACGCTTTTGGAAGTCGACTACTTTACTGAGTTTAACATGGTTAAAATTACTTTCGAAAACTATTTAAATATTTTTTTGAAATAGATAGAGAATGCTTAGAATATTAATAGAAAATTTGTCTTTTTACGACGGAACCTTTTACGGAATGTTATATACGAAAACAATTTAAAAGCTAAGCAGCGAATATTATTATTTAAAAATTTTTAATTTATTTAAATAACGTAACACTCGATAAAAACACAATTTCTTCTTTTGTTTATTGTTTTGATTTTTAAGTTTTAAATAAACTATTATTTTAAGCAATCTTTTTCATATTTTAAACTATATTAATGTACGGATGGATATATTTTATAGACGTAAAAAGTTAAGAATGGGTTAAAAAAATTATCATAATATCATCTATAAAATCATGTATCAGACTCATTCTATTTCCTTCCATGACGAAAGTTATTTTTAGACTGCTGATTGTTTTATTACAGGATATGAAGATGGTGGTTCAAAGGGGTGGAAAAAATACAAAATGAACAGTGATGAAGGTAAAAAATTAAATCGTAAAAAAACTCATTTGGGTTGTTTTATATCGCTAAGAAATATGCACATGAAATATAAATAAAATAATAAATAAAAACAATTCATAATAAGAAACGTCAAAAACTTGCCTTTTATGGTAATTAATTATAGTGTTATCTTTGAGCAGTAGGTGTCCTGTTCTACCGATTGTGCATGGTAGCTCAGGTGGCTAAGACTTTACACAGTCCAGTAAAATGTTGAGGTCTCTCTGCATACATAGTATCAAATCCCGTGTATATCTAATAAAAATTAAGTTAAATAACTTTTTATTATTGGATAGCTGTTAATAGATAAATTGAGATTATTATTTGTTGTGGGATAACTATTCTAGAGGGATAAGCTAATGTCAAGGTTATCTTACACTTTTGGATGCCGACTACTTTACTGAGTTTAACATGGTTTTATTTACTTTCGAAAACTATTTAAGTATATATATATATTTTTTTTAAATAGATAGAGAATGCGTAGAATGTTAAAAGTAAAATTTATGCTCACGACAGAAAATTTTAAGGAATTTTTTTTCCAAAATAATACAAAAGCTAACAGTGAATATTTTTCAAATTTTTCAAATTTTTTTAATTAACGAAACAGTCGATAAAAACCAAATTTCTACTTTTAGTTTATGTTTTAATTTTTAAGTTTAAAATAATCTATTATTTTAAGCAACATTTATTAATTTTTGAACTTTTTTTATGTATAAATGGATATATTTTATAGACGTAAAAGATCTAAGAATGGGTTTAAAAAATTATCAAAATATAATTTATAAAAACATGTATCTAACTTATACTAGCTTATAGCGTTACATAAGTTATTCTTAGACTTCTGATTGTTTTATTACATGATATCAAGATATCGATGATGGATGGACAAGAGGCAAAATGAACAATGAAGAAGGTAAGAAATTAAATTGTAAGAAAACCTATTTGGTTAGTTTTATATTGCTAATTAATATGCACATGAAATTAAAAACAAAACCACTACTGTAAAAGAGGTCATCTATTCTGTTAATAAATACAAACATTTCATAATAAGATACGTCTACAACTTGCGTTTTATGTAAAATAATTATAGTATTATCTTTGGGCAGTAGTTGTTTCGTACTGCCAATGGTGCATGGTAGCTCGGGTGGCTAAGACTCCACACATTCCAGTAAAATGTTGAGATCTCTCTACATACGCAGTATCAAATTCCGTTGATATGCAATCAAAATTCAATTTCAATAATTTTTAATTTTTGAATAGATTTGTAATAATAAAATTTAGATCATTAATTGTTGAGGCTTAACTCTTCTAGAGGGATAACCTAATGCCTAAGGTTATCTTACGCTTTTGGAAGTCGACTACTTTACTGAGTTTAACATGGTTAAAATTACTTTCGAAAACTATTTAAATATTTTTTTGAAATAGATAGAGAATGCTTAGAATATTAATAGAAAATTTGTCTTTTTACGACGGAACCTTTTACGGAATGTTATATACGAAAACAATTTAAAAGCTAAGCAGCGAATATTATTATTTAAAAATTTTTAATTTATTTAAATAACGTAACACTCGATAAAAACACAATTTCTTCTTTTGTTTATTGTTTTGATTTTTAAGTTTTAAATAAACTATTATTTTAAGCAATCTTTTTCATATTTTAAACTATATTAATGTACGGATGGATATATTTTATAGACGTAAAAAGTTAAGAATGGGTTAAAAAAATTATCATAATATCATCTATAAAATCATGTATCAGACTCATTCTATTTCCTTCCATGACGAAAGTTATTTTTAGACTGCTGATTGTTTTATTACAGGATATGAAGATGGTGGTTCAAAGGGGTGGAAAAAATACAAAATGAACAGTGATGAAGGTAAAAAATTAAATCGTAAAAAACTCATTTGGGTAGTTTTATATCGCTAAGAAATATGCACATGAAATATAAATAAAATAATAAATAAAAACAATTCATAATAAGAAACGTCAAAAACTTGCCTTTTATGGTAATTAATTATAGTGTTATCTTTGAGCAGTAGGTGTCCTGTTCTACCGATTGTGCATGGTAGCTCAGGTGGCTAAGACTTTACACAGTCCAGTAAAATGTTGAGGTCTCTCTGCATACATAGTATCAAATCCCGTGTATATCTAATAAAAATTAAGTTAAATAACTTTTTATTATTGGATAGCTGTTAATAGATAAATTGAGATTATTATTTGTTGTGGGATAACTATTCTAGAGGGATAAGCTAATGTCAAGGTTATCTTACACTTTTGGATGCCGACTACTTTACTGAGTTTAACATGGTTTTATTTACTTTCGAAAACTATTTAAGTATATATATATATTTTTTTTAAATAGATAGAGAATGCGTAGAATGTTAAAAGTAAAATTTATGCTCACGACAGAAAATTTTAAGGATTTTTTTTCCAAAATAATACAAAAGCTAACAGTGAATATTTTTCAAATTTTTCAAATTTTTTTAATTAACGAAACAGTCGATAAAAACCAAATTTCTACTTTTAGTTTATGTTTTAATTTTTAAGTTTAAAATAATCTATTATTTTAAGCAACATTTATTAATTTTTGAACTTTTTTTATGTATAAATGGATATATTTTATAGACGTAAAAGATCTAAGAATGGGTTTAAAAAATTATCAAAATATAATTTATAAAAACATGTATCTAACTTATACTAGCTTATAGCGTTACATAAGTTATTCTTAGACTTCTGATTGTTTTATTACATGATATCAAGATATCGCTGATGGATGGACAAGAGGCAAAATGAACAATGAAGAAGGTAAGAAATTAAATTGTAAGAAAACCTATTTGGTTAGTTTTATATTGCTAATTAATATGCACATGAAATTAAAAACAAAACCACTACTGTAAAAGAGGTCATCTATTCTGTTAATAAATACAAACATTTCATAATAAGATACGTCTACAACTTGCGTTTTATGTAAAATAATTATAGTATTATCTTTGGGCAGTAGTTGTTTCGTTCTGCCAATGGTGCATGGTAGCTCGGGTGGCTAAGACTCCACACATTCCAGTAAAATGTTGAGATCTCTCTACATACGCAGTATCAAATTCCGTTGATATGCAATCAAAATTCAATTTCAATAATTTTTAATTTTTGAATAGATTTGTAATAATAAAATTTAGATCATTAATTGTTGAGGCTTAACTCTTCTAGAGGGATAACCTAATGCCTAAGGTTATCTTACGCTTTTGGAAGTCGACTACTTTACTGAGTTTAACATGGTTAAAATTACTTTCGAAAACTATTTAAATATTTTTTTGAAATAGATAGAGAATGCTTAGAATATTAATAGAAAGTTTGTCTTTTTACGATGGAACCTTTTACGGAATGTTATATACGAAAACAATTTAAAAGCTAAGCAGCGAATATTATTATTTAAAAAAAATTAATTTATTTAAATAACGTAACACTCGATAAAAACACAATTTCTACTTTTGTTTATTGTTTTGATTTTTAAGTTTTAAATAAACTATTATTTTAAGCAATCTTTTTCATATTTTAAACTATATTAATGTACGGATGGATATATTTTATAGACGTAAAAAGTTAAGAATGGGTTAAAAAAATTATCATAATATCATCTATAAAATCATGTATCCAACTCATTCTATTTCCTTCCATGACGAAAGTTATTTTTAGACTGCTGATTGTTTTATTACAGGATATGAAGATGGTGGTTCAAAGGGGTGGAAAAAATACAAAATGAACAGTGATGAAGGTAAAAAATTAAATCGTAAAAAAACTCATTTGGGTAGTTTTATATCGCTAAGAAATATGCACATGAAATATAAATAAAATAATAAATAAAAACAATTCATAATAAGAAACGTCAAAAACTTGCCTTTTATGGTAATTAATTATAGTGTTATCTTTGAGCAGTAGGTGTCCTGTTCTGCCGATTGTGCATGGTAGCTCAGGTGGCTAAGACTTTACACAGTCCAGTAAAATGTTGAGGTCTCTCTGCATACATAGTATCAAATCCCGTGTATATCTAATCAAAATTAAGTTAAATAACTTTTTATTATTGGATAGCTGTTAATAGATAAATTGAGATTATTATTTGTTGTGGGATAACTATTCTAGAGGGATAAGCTAATGTCAAGGTTATCTTACACTTTTGGATGCCGACTACTTTACTGAGTTTAACATGGTTTTATTTACTTTCGAAAACTATTTAAGTATATATATTTTTTTTAAATAGATAGAGAATGCGTAGAATGTTAAAAGTAAAATTTATGCTTACGACAGAAAATTTTAAGGAATTTTTTTTCCAAAATAATACAAAAGCTAACAGTGAATATTTTTCAAATTTTTCAAATTTTTTTAATTAACGAAACAGTCGATAAAAACCAAATTTCTACTTTAATTTATGTTTTAATTTTTAAGTTTCAAATAATCTATTATTTTAAGCAACATTTATTAATTTTTGAACTTTTTTTATGTATAAATGGATATATTTTATAGACGTAAAGGATCTAAGAATGGGTTTAAAAAATTATCAAAATATAATTTATAAAAACATGTATCTAACTTATACTAGCTTATAGCGTTACATAAGTTATTCTTAGACTTCTGATTGTTTTATTACATGATATCAAGATATCGCTGATGGATGGACAAGAGGCAAAATGAACAATGAAGAAGGTAAGAAATTAAATTGTAAGAAAACCTATTTGGTTAGTTTTATATTGCTAATTAATATGCACATGAAATTAAAAACAAAACCACTACTGTAAAAGAGGTCATCTATTCTGTTAATAAATACAAACATTTCATAATAAGATACGTCTACAACTTGCGTTTTATGTAAAATAATTATAGTATTATCTTTGGGCAGTAGTTGTTTCGTTCTGCCAATGGTGCATGGTAGCTCGGGTGGCTAAGACTCCACACATTCCAGTAAAATGTTGAGATCTCTCTACATACGCAGTTTCAAATTCCGTTGATATGCAATCATAATTCAATTTCAATAATTTTTAATTATTGAATAGATTTGTAATAATAAAATTTAGATCATTAATTGTTGAGGCTTAACTCTTCTAGAGGGATAACCTAATGCCTAAGGTTATCTTACGCTTTTGGAAGTCGACTACTTTACTGAGTTTAACATGGTTAAAATTACTTTCGAAAACTATTTAAATATTTTTTTGAAATAGATAGAGAATGCTTAGAATATTAATAGAAAATTTGTCTTTTTACGACGGAACCTTTTACGGAATGTTATATACGAAAAAAATTTAAAAGCTAAGCAGCGAATATTATTTAAAAAAATTTTAATTTATTTAAATAACGTAACAGTCGATAAAAACACAATTTCTACTTTTGTTTATTGTTTTGATTTTTAAGTTTTAAATAATCTATTATTTTAAGCAACCTTTTTCAAATTTTAAACTATATTAATGTAAGGATGGATATATTTTATATGCGTAAAAATTTAATAAAAGTTAAAAATTATCATTATACTATCTATAAAATCATGTATCTAACTCATTCTATTTTCTACCGTGACGAAAGTTATTCTTAGCCTGATGATTGTTTTATTACAGGATATGAAGATGGTGGTTCAATGGGGTGGAAAAATGACCAAATGAACAATGATGGAGGTAAAAAATTAAATCGTAACAAAACTTATTTGGATAGTTTTATATCGCTAAGAAAAATGCAAATGAAATATAAATTAAATAATAAATAAAAACGATTCATAATAAGAATTGTCAAAAACTTGCGTTTTATGGTAATGAATTATAGTGTTATCTTTGAGCAGTAGTTGTCCCGTTCTGCCGATTGTGCATGGTAGCTCAGGTGGCTAAGACTTTACACAGTCCAGTAAAATGTTGAGGTCTCTCTTCATACGCCTTAACAAATCCTGTTTATATCAAATCAACATTAAGTTGAATAACTTTTTATTATTGGATAGCTGTTAATAGATAAATTGAGATTATTATTTGTTGTGGGATAACTATTCTAGAGGGATAAGCTAATGTCAATGTTATCTTACGCTTTTGGAAACCGACTACTTTACTGAGTTTAACATGGTTAAAATTACTTTCGAAAACTATTTAAATATTTTTTTGAAATAGATAGAGAATGCTTAGAATATTAATAGAAAATTTGTCTTTTTACGACGGAACCTTTTACGGAATGTTATATACGAAAACAATTTAAAAGCTAAGCAGCGAATATTATTATTTAAAAAGATTTAATTTATTTAAATAACGTAACACTCGATAAAAACACAATTTCTTCTTTTGTTTATTGTTTTGATTTTTAAGTTTTAAATAAACTATTATTTTAAGCAATCTTTTTCATATTTTAAACTATATTAATGTACGGTTGGATATATTTTATAGACGTAAAAAGTTAAGAATGGGTTAAAAAAATATCATAATATCATCTATAAAATCATGTATCCAACTCATTCTATTTCCTTCCATGACGAAAGTTATTTTTAGACTGCTGATTGTTTTATTACAGGATATGAAGATGGTGGTTCAAAGGGGTGGAAAAAAGACAAAATGAACAGTGATGAAGGTAAAAAATTAAATCGTAAAAAAACTCATTTGGGTAGTTTTATATCGCTAAGAAATATGCACATGAAATATAAATAAAATAATAAATAAAAACAATTCATAATAAGAAACGTCAAAAACTTGCCTTTTATGGTAATTAATTATTGTGTTATCTTTGAGCAGTAGGTGTCCTGTTCTGCCGATTGTGCATGGTAGCTCAGGTGGCTAAGACTTTACACAGTCCAGTAAAATGTTGAGGTCTCTCTGCATACATAGTATCAAATCCCGTGTACATCTAATAAAAATTAAGTTGAATAACTTTTTATTATTGGATAGCTGTTAATAGATAAATTGAGATTATTATTTGTTGTGGGATAACTATTCTAGAGGGATAAGCTAATGTCAAGGTTATCTTACACTTTTGGATGCCGACTACTTTACTGAGTTTAACATGGTTTTATTTACTTTCGAAAACTATTTAAGTATATATATATATTTTTTTAAATAGATAGAGAATGCGTAGAATGTTAAAAGTAAAATTTATGCTTACGACAGAAACTTTTAAGGAATTTTTTTCCAAAATAATACAAAAGCTAACAGTGAATATTTTTCAAATTTTTCAAATTTTTTTAATTAACGAAACAGTCGATAAAAACCAAATTTCTACTTTTAGTTTATGTTTTAATTTTTAAGTTTAAAATAATCTATTATTTTAAGCAACATTTATTAATTTTTGAACTTTTTTTATGTATAAATGGATATATTTTATAGACGTAAAGGATCTAAGAATGGGTTTAAAAAATTATCAAAATATAATTTATAAAAACATGTATCTAACTTATACTAGCTTATAGCGTTACATAAGTTATTCTTAGACTTCTGATTGTTTTATTACATGATATCAAGATATCGCTGATGGATGGACAAGAGGCAAAATGAACAATGAAGAAGGTAAGAAATTAAATTGTAAGAAAACCTATTTGGTTAGTTTTATATTGCTAATTAATATGCACATGAAATTAAAAACAAAACCACTACTGTAAAAGAGGTCATCTATTCTGTTAATAAATACAAACATTTCATAATAAGATACGTCTACAACTTGCGTTTTATGTAAAATAATTATAGTATTATCTTTGGGCAGTAGTTGTTTCGTTCTGCCAATGGTGCATGGTAGCTCGGGTGGCTAAGACTCCACACATTCCAGTAAAATGTTGAGATCTCTCTACATACGCAGTATCAAATCCCGTTGATATGCAATCAAAATTCAATTTCAATAATTTTTAATTATTGAATAAATTTGTAATAATAAAATTTAGATCATTATTTGTTGAGGCTTAACTCTTCTAGAGGGATAACCTAATGCCTAAGGTTATCTTACGCTTTTGGAAGTCGACTACCTTACTGAGTTTAACATGGTTAAAATTACTTTCGAAAACTATTTAAATATTTGTTTGAAATAGATAGAGAATGCTTAGAATAATAATAGAAAATTTGTCTTTTTACGACGGAACCTTTTACGGAATGTTATATACGAAAACAATTTAAAAGCTAAGCAGCGAATATTATTATATAAAAAAAATTAATTTATTTAAATAACGTAACACTCGATAAAAACACAATTTCTACTTTTGTTTATTGTTTTGATTTTTAAGTTTTAAATAAACTATTGTTTTAAGCAATCTTTTTCATATTTTAAACTATATTAATGTACGGATGGATATATTTTATAGACGTAAAAAGTTAAGAATGGGTTAAAAAAATTATCATTATATCATCTATAAAATCATGTATCCAACTCATTCTATTTCCTTCCATGACGAAAGTTATTTTTAGACTGCTGATTGTTTTATTACAGGATATGAAGATGGTGGTTCAAAGGGGTGGAAAAAATACAAAATGAACAGTGATGAAGGTAAAAAATTAAATCGTAAAAAAACTAATTTCGGTAGTTTTATATCGCTAAGAAATATGCACATGAAATATAAATAAAATAATAAATAAAAACAATTCATAATAAGAAACGTCAAAAACTTGCCTTTTATGGTAATTAATTATAGTGTTATCTTTGAGCAGTAGGTGTCCTGTTCTGCCGATTGTGCATGGTAGCTCAGGTGGCTAAGACTTTACACAGTCCAGTAAAATGTTGAGGTCTCTCTGCATACATAGTATCAAATCCCGTGTATATCTAATCAAAATTAAGTTAAATAACTTTTTATTATTGGATAGCTGTTAATAGATAAATTGAGATTATTATTTGTTGTGGGATAACTATTCTAGAGGGATAAGCTAATGTCAAGGTTATCTTACACTTTTGGATGCCGACTACTTTACTGAGTTTAACATGGTTTTATTTACTTTCGAAAACTATTTAAGTATATATATATATTTTTTTAAATAGATAGAGAATGCGTAGAATGTTAAAAGTAAAATTTATGCTTACGACAGAAAATTTTAAGGAATTTTTTTTCCAAAATAATACAAAAGCTAACAGTGAATATTTTTCAAATTTTTCAAATTTTTTTAATTAACGAAACAGTCGATAAAAACCAAATTTCTACTTTTAGTTTATGTTTTAATTTTTAAGTTTAAAATAATCTATTATTTTAAGCAACATTTATTAATTTTTGAACTTTTTTTATGTATAAATGGATATATTTTATAGACGTAAAGGATCTAAGAATGGGTTTAAAAAATTATCAAAATATAATTTATAAAAACATGTATCTAACTTATACTAGCTTATAGCGTTACATAAGTTATTCTTAGACTTCTGATTGTTTTATTACATGATATCAAGATATCGCTGATGGATGGACAAGAGGCAAAATGAACAATGAAGAAGGTAAGAAATTAAATTGTAAGAAACCCTATTTGGTTAGTTTTATATTGCTAATTAATATGCACATGAAATTAAAAACAAAACCACTACTGTAAAAGAGGTCATCTATTCTGTTAATAAATACAAACATTTCATAATAAGATACGTCTACAACTTGCGTTTTATGTAAAATAATTATAGTATTATCTTTGGGCAGTAGTTGTTTCGTTCTGCCAATGGTGCATGGTAGCTCGGGTGGCTAAGACTCCACACATTCCAGTAAAATGTTGAGATCTCTCTACATACGCAGTATCAAATCCCGTTGATATGCAATCAAAATTCAATTTCAATAATTTTTAATTATTGAATAGATTTGTAATAATAAAATTTAGATCATTATTTGTTGAGGCTTAACTCTTCTAGAGGGATAACCTAATGCCTAAGGTTATCTTACGCTTTTGGAAGTCGACTACTTTACTGAGTTTAACATGGTTAAAATTACTTTCGAAAACTATTTAAATATTTGTTTGAAATAGATAGAGAATATTAATAGAAAATTTGTCTTTTTACGACGGAACCTTTTACGGAATGTTATATACGAAAACAATTTAAAAGCTAAGCAGCGAATATTATTATATAAAAAAATTTAATTTATTTAAATAACGTAACACTCGATAAAAACACAATTTCTACTTTTGTTTATTGTTTTGATTTTTAAGTTTTAAATAAACTATTATTTTAAGCAATATTTTTCATATTTTAAACTATATTAATGTACGAATGGATATATTTTATAGACGTAAAAAGTTAAGAATGGGTTAAAAGAATTATCATAATATCATCTATAAAATCATGTATCCAACTCATTCTATTTCCTTCCATGACGAAAGTTATTTTTAGACTGCTGATTGTTTTATTACAGGATATGAAGATGGTGGTTCAAAGGGGTGGAAAAAATACAAAATGAACAGTGATGAAGGTAAAAAATTAAATCGTAAAAAAACTCATTTCGGTAGTTTTATATCGCTAAGAAATATGCACATGAAATATAAATAAAATAATAAATAAAAACAATTCATAATAAGAAACGTCAAAAACTTGCCTTTTATGGTAATTAATTATAGTGTTATCTTTGAGCAGTAGGTGTCCTGTTCTGCCGATTGTGCATGGTAGCTCAGGTGGCTAAGACTTTACACAGTCCAGTAAAATGTTGAGGTCTCTCTGCATACATAGTATCAAATCCCGTGTATATCTAATCAAAATTAAGTTAAATAACTTTTTATTATTGGATAGCTGTTAATAGATAAATTGAGATTATTATTTGTTGTGGGATAACTATTCTAGAGGGATAAGCTAATGTCAAGGTTATCTTACACTTTTGGATGCCGACTACTTTACTGAGTTTAACATGGTTTTATTTACTTTCGAAAACTATTTAAGTATATATATATATTTTTTTTTAATAGATAGAGAATGCGTAGAATGTTAAAAGTAAAATTTATGCTTACGACAGAAAATTTTAAGGAATTTTTTTCCAAAATAATACAAAAGCTAACAGTGAATATTTTTCAAATTTTTCAAATTTTTTTAATTAACGAAACAGTCGATAAAAACCAAATTTCTACTTTTAGTTTATGTTTTAATTTTTAAGTTTAAAATAATCTATTATTTTAAGCAACATTTATTAATTTTTGAACTTTTTTTATGTATAAATGGATATATTTTATAGACGTAAAGGATCTAAGAATGGGTTTAAAAAATTATCAAAATATAATTTATAAAAACATGTATCTAACTTATACTAGCTTATAGCGTTACATAAGTTATTCTTAGACTTCTGATTGTTTTATTACATGATATCAAGATATCGCTGATGGATGGACAAGAGGCAAAATGAACAATGAAGAAGGTAAGAAATTAAATTGTAAGAAAACCTATTTGGTTAGTTTTATATTGCTAATTAATATGCACATGAAATTAAAAACAAAACCACTACTGTAAAAGAGGTCATCTATTCTGTTAATAAATACAAACATTTCATAATAAGATACGTCTACAACTTGCGTTTTATGTAAAATAATTATAGTATTATCTTTGGGCAGTAGTTGTTTCGTTCTGCCAATGGTGCATGGTAGCTCGGGTGGCTAAGACTCCACACATTCCAGTAAAATGTTGAGATCTCTCTACATACGCAGTATCAA